CTCGTTCACTTAACCTCGCAGACACACGTTTGGAGAGTATGATTTCACGACCTTGTCCCCCTAAAATCCCCTCACGCTCATCAGCTCTGGCCGACAGTGACTTTGAAGGCTTTTATCCCTCTCTGCACCCGAGGAGACCAATAGCTAGATGCCTGGGGTGGGAGAGGAGGCACGAAGCTGAAGGGTGGGCTGTGTGGATCTCGTCCCTCACACCTTCGATCTTCAGGGTTCTGGAGGTGCGTGTGCTTGCCCTGGTGTGTGGGACTTGGAAGAGCAGCCACTGTCACTGTACCAGGAGATTCAAACCAGCTTTGCCTCATCTGGACCATTTGAAGAGGGGATGTCATCACCTTCCATATCCTTGGCCAGCAGGGCAGTAGCATCTATTTCCAGGAGGAGGTTGAAGCTGCCAATGATCCCGGCAGGGAGTTCTCAAGTGTCAGGCAGATCTGGTGCAGCTTATCTCCCCTGCTCTCATTCTCCGGGCATCCCAATTTCCTCAGCACTTAATTTAAGGGGCATTAAATCCTTTCTGCAAGAAGGTTGGACATGAATAAATAGAGCATCTCTCTGAGGCAACAGAGCTGGTTTGCCCACCTCATTCATGCCACCGTTTGCTTAGTTTCCAGGCTGAACATCACCCATATTCAGAATTCGGGAAGTTACTTTCAAAAACTAGGTGACACTGAATGTCTCATTGAAGTGGCTGAATTACTCTACGCAGCTTCCATATTACCATTTTGCTAAAGGTGACTTCATGTCAAACATCAGCTTGTTTTATTTAACCAGAGTAGGTGGCAGCCTAAATGATCATTACTAATGCCTGAAATTCCCTAACTAGAAAATATCTTTTCTATGTTAATTAGAGAAAGGTTTCAAATGTAATCTCCCTGAGCCAATGATAGCTTGATTTAGCTCTACAGTAATTATAAATTATAAGTAACTCATCATATACTGAGAAAGAAGGGAAAGAAGAGAGAAATTCTGATGACTGCAGAGGGTGGGGACAAAAAAAATCCTACTAGATGATTATTTCTGTTATAGAGTATAGGCCAAATAAACATTTTCCAACTGAAATAAAACATTGAGAGGAAAACAGAAGAAGGATAAGGGGAGAAGGGAAATTTTTGAAAATGGAAACTGATTTCATTTTCTTATTTTACAAAGAGTAGTTAATTAGTACTTTGGCAACAAACTAGGAGTAGAAAGAAACTTCCTCCAGCTGATAAAAGGTATCCATGGAAAACACATTACTAGCATTATATTTAATGAAGACAAACTGAAAGCTTTCCCCCTAAGACCAGAAATGAGACAAAGATATTTACCATCACCACTTTTATTGACCATTGTGCTGGAGGTCCTAGCCAGAGCACTTAGGCAAGAAAAAGAAATAAAAGGTATCCAGACTGGAAAGGAAGAACTAAGATGATCTCTACTTGCAGAAGACATGATCTTGTATATAAAAAATCCAAAAGAATCTCAATGATTAGAACTAATAAACAAGTTCTGCAAAGTGTCAGGATATAAAATCAATATACAAAAAATCAACTGCATTTTTGTACATTAGCAAGGAACAATCAAAAAATAAATTAAGAAAATAATTATATTTATAATAGCATAAAAACAGAATATTTGAGAATAAATCTAATAAAAAGAGTATAAAGCTTGTACTCTGAGACCTATAAAATACTGTCGAAAGAAATTAAAGAAGATCTAAGTAATGGAAAGACATCCTATGTTCATGAACCAAAGGACTTAATATGATTAAGATGACAATACTTCTCAAATTGATCTACAGATTCAATGCAATCTCTATCAAAATCCCAGCTGGATTTTTTCCAAAAATTGACAAACTGATCATAAAATTCATAAGAAAATGCAAAGAATCCAGAATAGTCAAACAATTCTGAAAAAGAAGAACAAAGTTTGAAGAAACATACTTCCCAATTTAAAAGCTTCCAACAAAGCTACAATAATCAAGACACTGTGGCACTGACATGGGATTGACATATGGACCAGTGGAATAGAATTGAAGTCCAGAAATAAAACTTTACATCTACGGTTAACTGATATTCAGCAAGGATTCCAAGACAATTTGACAGAGAAAGAATTGTCTATTCAACAAATGGTTCTGAAAAAACTGGATATTCACATACAAAAAAAAAAAAAATGAAGTTGAACCCACTTCCTCATAGTACACACAAAAATTAATTCAAAGTTCATCATAGACCTAAGTGAAAGAGCTAAAACTATAAAGCTCCTAAAAGAAAATATAAAAGTAAATCTTTGTGGCCTTGGATTAGGCAATGATTTCTTAGATACTAACCAAAAGCACAAGCAATAAAAGAAAAAGTAGACAAATTGGACTACGTCAAAATTAAAACTTTCTGTGCTTCAATGGATACTATCAAGAAAGTGAAAAGACAACCTACATAAAAAACAAAGAAAATCATCTCCCTGACAAGAGATTTATACTGAGAATACATAAAGAACTCTTAGAAATGAACAATAAAAAGACATATAAATATAAATCAATTTAAAAGTGGGAAAAGGTTTGAATAGACATTTCTCCAAAGAAAATATACAAATGGCCTAGAAGCACATGAAAAGATGTTCGATGTCATTAGTTATAAGGGAAATGCAAATCAAACCACCATGAGATACCACGTCACACCCACTAGATGGCTGGAATCAAAAGGATGACAATAATAAGCGTTTATGAATATGTGAAAAATTAGAACCCTCATTCACTGCTGGTGGGAATGTAAAATGGTACAGCTGCTCTGGAAAATAGTTTGGCAATCCTTCAAGATACTAAACATAGAGTTTCCATATGACTCAGCAATTCCATTCCTAAGTTGTATCCTAGGAAATGGAAAACATACAATCACAAAAAAAATTGCGCACAAATGCTTATAGCAGGATTATTCGTAATACCCAAGAAGTGGTAATAATCCAATGAGGAGATTAAAAATGTGGGTCTGTTTTACATGGAATATTATTTGGTAGTAAAAAAAGAATAAAGTAATAATGCATGCTACACAAATGAATGAAGTTTGAAAACATTGTTAAGTAAAAGAAGCCTATCACCAATAATCACAAATTATGTGATTCTGCTTGTGTGAAATGTAACATTTCTATATCTAACTGGAATTAAGTTAGTATAAATCTGAAGCAGATTCTGATAAATTAACATGTATATGGCAAGCTGTGGAAAATCTACTGAAAAACCCTTAAAAGTGTAATTTTTAAAATCATTAAAAGAATTAAAATGTTACACTAAAAATATTCACTTAATCCATTAAAAAAAAGAAAGTTGGTCATTTTCACAATGCATGTAGACACTGGAGAGCCCAAACACTAAAAAAAAAAAAAAAAAAATATGTAAAACAATTCACAAGCAGATGCTTCCCAAAAATTTGGTCCAAGGTCCCAATCGAGGATCTTTTTTTATGGTAGTAAGAAAAGTACTGTTCTTTAAGGGTTTATCCTTAAGAGGAGAACCTACTGTTTATTCAATTCTTCCTTACTACCAAGGGAATAAAATAATTATATAAATTCCTCACAGTGACCCCACTGACTGATGAGCAATCCAAGTGGAATTCTTGACTAGGAAGCAAATGAAATTGACTCAACGTCTGTGATGGAATGGAGTCTATGTGAGCTTGCTCGGACAGGATTCAGAACTTCTCTCTGGTACACATCACACGTCTGGAGACACACTGCATTTTTCAGGGGAAAAAATTTAACTCCATACATCTCCCTTTTCATGGAAAGATCAATTTCCTCAAAGGCAGGTGGTGCCCTGAAGCTCTAATTGTTTTAGAATGCTGACCGACCTTGATTGGCACTCTAACCAATCAGAGCTTTTGACCAGATGAGTGGAAATTACCACATTTCTCCCAGATTAGACATAACCAAAGTCCCTTCCTAGACTCATCAGTAAGGTATTTGTTTAATAACTGAACCTGTGGTCTCCAGGCTCTCTGCCAATGGCAGGAAAAAATAAGGACGAGGATCTAGACACAGGCAGAGATAAAAGGCTATACTTTGCCCCTGAATTTATTGTTCTTTTTAAGAAATCTCTATCTGCTAGCCCTTCTTTTCTATTTATAGAAAACAAAATTAGTCCTTAAATCTGAATGCATGAGAGGAACACGTACGAATGCATGGCTTAAGCAGATACTTATGTAAATGATTATAGAATAATAAAATCAGATGTCCGAAGTAAATAACTTGCATTACCACTAACCCATGGCAAGAGTCCCTATTCTATTTTTAAGCACCTTCAAATCTACTTGTGGTCTTTTATCTCAATTTCATTTTTATAACATTTTTTTCTGGTTTACAGGGAGCTTAACTGAATACTGAAGGAAAAAAATCTCCACTGTACTCATTTCTATAGCAAGATTTTATGGGAAATTTTGCCTATCAAGGAATTTTCTTTCAAATTCCACTGAAAGAGCAAAATCACACTGCTCTTCAGACCTACAGTAACTCCCTTTACAATTTCACAGTTATCATTCTGGCTTCATTTGAGAAAGTACTTTTTTTAGAGATCAGAGAAAACCTGACTGGTTTTCAAATAAAAGTACCAAGAATAATGAAAACCTGGACAAATTTAGGAAGCATTCGAAAGGTTTAATTGGAGAAATGATCGATTGGTCTTTACATATCTCCTTATTGCTACTCATTTGTCTCAATTCATCTAGTTTTGTCATTTTTTTTTTATATTTCCACTAAAATCCCTAGAGTTCCTTGTTTTTCTATTGTAGCTTAAGTCTACAAATGGAGATAAACATTTTTATTTGTCCATACTTGGAGTATAATTACGCTTTGTGTAGATTCATGTCTTTCACCAATTCTGGAAAATTCTCCAGTCATTATTTCTTTGAATACTCTCTTTACTCCCTTCCATTCATTCTCCCCTTTAGAAAATAAGAAAGAATGACTTTCTCTATCCACCATGTCTCTTTTTGTTTTGTCCTAAATAGTCGCAATTCTTTGTTAAAGTGAGTTTATTTTCTTTTTTAAAACTACATTTAATAGTGAATTAACACAATTTAGAGATGACCAATTACAAATTAAGTACCTTGCTGACCATAGGAACTTCTTATGCTTTACCATTTTCTAATTTTTAAGTAAATTTTATTGTGGTAAAATTCACACATTCTATGTAGAAATAGATGAATTCTGACAAACATTCATCCATGTTACCATGTCCCCATTTAAGATATAGAATATTTCCCCGGAAAGTTTCCTTTTGCTCATTTGCACCTGTATCATGACACCCTAGTCAATCACCGATCCGATTTGTCAACATAGATTTCTTTACTCTGTTCTAGAATTTCATCACATAAACAGAGTCATACAGTCTTCCTAATTCTGTGTCTAGTTTCTTCTGTTCAGAATAATGTCTGGGAGATTCATCCTTATCATTGCATGAATCAGTACAATAGTTTGTTTCTTTTTATAGCTGAATAGTATCCCATTGTATGAATATATGACAATTTGTTTATCCACATTCATTCCATACATATAAGTAATCTAAGGTGTTACATTATGAAATTGCATATATTCAATATAAAACATAATACACAAAAAAATTTGGGTAGCCTCTAACTGGCTTCTGTCACTCCAGTCTCTAGTACATTCTTGCTGCCAAGGTCAACTTTCCCTTCACCATGACAATCTTCTGTTAGACGTGGCCCTAGTCCACTGCTGAAAGCAATGCTTTTTACTTCCCATTTTTGCTTCATATGATGCACCTCTTGCTGCTTTGTGTTGTGGTTACTTAGGCACATATCTGACTTCAACTACTAGACTCTAAGCTGCTTGAGGTCAGGATCCAGAGAGATTTATCTTCACTCGTGCACCGCACTGAACACAGGATGGCTTAATGGGATGCGCTCAACAAACACCGGCTGAGGAGATAAATAAACAAGCGAATTCTTCCATTCAAAATTAGCCTCAGTGGCTCCCCATCCTAGAGCTTGTTTTACAAAATCTTCCACAACTAGCTCCAACTTAACTTTTCATCTGCTTTCCTGTGATTTTTCATGCATAATACGTCTTCTCCAGCTACACTGGAGTCTATTTGTTGACTTCCATACCTTTATCTATGATGTTTTTCCTGTCTGGTAGGAAGCACGCACGCACACAGACACACAGACACATACACACACAGACACACACACACACACACACACAGACACACACACACACAC